GATATGACTTATTAATTAGGTAAAATGACAGCTGCAGTTCATGAACATATTGAACTTTATTTACATCTGTTGGTACCATGACAACCTAAAATCAGTTGTCAGTTGTACAATAAACGGTTATGCTTTCACGTTTACCAAAATTGGGGAAAACAGTGAATAGTTGAGACTACCATTACAATTTATGGTTTATTTATTTGCAGTTTTGTTTACTTTTCAAGATGAGGTCTTCTTGCCCTATAGCCCAGGCTGATGAAACTTGGCAGCATTCTGGCTTTACCTCTGGATTGCACCTCTAAGGCAGTCCAGGATTGTGCTGTAAAAGTGAGGGTTTTGTTGTTGTTTTGTTTTTCCCTGGGTAAAAGATACATAGCACATAGCTGCAGACAAAGTGTATGCACCCATTTCTGTCCATTTAAAAGGGGGGAGGACAAACCCCAAGTGAGTGTGAGCTCATTTACCCTCTGCTTTAGGAGATCATTCACACTGTGTGCACATGGTGCACACACACACACACACACCTGCAGGCAACACTCATACATGCAAAACAAAAACAAGTTAAAAAGAGAAGAAAATCATCATCTGTGTTTCCCCTGCTTCTGCTGAACTCCTCCCACCCAGTCAGTTGGGAGACTTCTGTAGGATAGGTTGGTCTGGATGGTGAGGCCTGTGGGTGTACATATATTAATTTTCTTTGAGGTGAGGAGATTCATGACTCTTGTATCAGGAAGCTGAGAATACCCAGCTCTCAAAAGATGATTTGCAGCCCAGTGTGACACTTCGCTTGGGACGGGACACTCATTTCTATCTTCATGAAGATGGTGACAGCTCTCTGGGGGACATGCCAGTTGAACCAGCCAGTTCAACTCAAGCACAGCTTCTTTGAAAGCCATAGGCCAGGACTTAGAAAGGCCAGGAGTTGGCCTCAGTGCCAGGGTCCACCTTTCCAGAATGTACTGCTTCGTGGATTCTCCTCAAGGAAGAGCTGAGGCAGCAACACCTGCTGCGAAGGCCAAGGGTACAGAGGGCATCTCTTCGGGAACCAGGAAGCTTGTGAGTTTTCTTTCTTATGTCTACAAATCCATCTGCCATTCATACTCACCCGTCCAGAGAAACCAGCCTTCAAGTGGTGCCTTGCTAAAGATGAAGAGCTAGCGGCGGCATGGCTTTGGGGAGAGGGGTCTTTCTTCAGAGCCTTTAAAATGGCTTTTGCAGACAGGTTGGTGGCGTAGCTGAGCAGTCTAAAATGACTTTTGCAATGCCCTAGGTTTTGGCTCTGAGGGAGAGGAGGCTTTCAAAGACCTCTCCTCTCCCTTAAATCAGGTTACTATTTATTTGTTTTGAGATGTGTAAGGAAGGCCTCACACTTTGGTGTCTTGACGACTCAAATGCCGACCCGCCTCCCTCTACCTCCAAAGTGCAGAGGTGTTCCGGGAGTGCACTGCCATATCCGTCCCATGTTCGGTTTCTACCCACCCAGAAGTGCGCTCTTTTCTCTTCTCGTCACACTGCAATTACAGTTTTCTCCTGTTTGGACAGTAGAAGAGGAAACACTGTACTGTGATGCACACAAAGAGCTGAAGAACCTCTGGACCGGGGATGGGGTGGGGTATGTTGTGCACAGGCCTGGTGTATGATGAGAGTTTAGCAGCACATTGGTGACTGCTGTATTCAGTAGGATCTGTGTATCATGCATCACTCAGCACTCACCATTGACTTCTTACATTAATGACGGAATGTCTCAGAACTGAGGGAGATTTTGAAATCCAAGATGGTGTGATCTCATGACATCACATAGAAATTAAGGCTCTGTGAGGCAATATGGTTATGTTTATTTCCCTTGTTTCTCTTTTGCATGCAGTTACATGTGTTTGCATACAGTTACATATGTGTTGGGGTCAGAGGTCAACTGGGTAGCATTCTTCAGCAGCCGTCCACATGGGTTTTTGAGACAGTCTTTCAGTGGGACTTGGGACCTGGGGACTCTGCCAGGCAGGGTGACTTGGGAGTCCCAGGTATCTTTCTTTCTGCAGCTCACCAGTTCTGGGTTACAACCTCGGTCATATCACCACACCTGCTTTTTATATGGGTACTGAGAATGGGACTCAGTGCTCAGGCTTACACAGCAAACACTGTACTGACCAAGGTGTGCCCCAAGGTCTTTGTGTGTGTGTGTGTGTGTGTGTGTGTGTGTGTGTGTGTATCTGAGTATGTGTGTGAGTATGTATGAATGTCTGAGTGTGTCTGAGTGTGTGTATGTGAGTGTCTGTGTGTGTCTCTGAATTTTTTAAAAATAATTTTTAATTTTTCAATTTTATTTTACATGTGTGTTTGCCTGCTTGTATCTTCATGTATCATGTTCATGCCTAGTGCCTGATGTGGCCAGAAGAGGGCAATGGCACCCCTGGAGTTACAGATGGATGAGAGCTGCCATCTGAGCGCTGGGAATTGAACCTGTGTCTTCTGCAAGAGCATCTGGTGCTCTTAACTGCTGAACCATCTCTCCAGACCCTCCCTTTTTCTAGGAGTTACATTTTTCTTCAGGACTGGTGGCGCACACCTTTAATCCCAGCACTAGGGAGGCAGAGGCAGGTGGATCTACAAGTTCCAGGCCAGCCTGGGGCTATATAATGAGACCCTGTCAACCACAAATTGCTTTTTTTTTTTCCCCCTGAAGATTATCCTTCTGGACTCTTAGAGTGAGGAACTGGAATGAAGACAGGGATAACAAAAGATGTTTTTAAAATAGAATTATATCATTTAAGACTGCTGATGCCATGATTTGTGTTTGTTTGTTTCTTGAAACAGGGTTTCTCTTTGTAACAGTCCTGGATGTTCTAGACTTCTGCTCTGTAGACCAGGCTGACCTCGAACTCACAGAGATGTGCCTGCCTCTGCTTCCCAAGTGCTGGGATTAAAAGCATGCGCCACATGCCTGGCTCAAAGCTGATGATTATTGACTGGTTTTTTAAGCTGCGGGAAATTTTGAGCTAATGCCTTCCTAGAGTTCCACTCTTACTGGGGATTTTGAGCATTGAAGGGCTGGGATTTGTCAGGTTCAGCAATGGGAAGCTGGTGAGCAGAGCAGGACCTAGAAGGATTCTAACCCCCTCCCCCACAGGAAATTTTTAGTAATAAGCCCTCAGACCATCTGCTGTCACTGAGTCTTATGGCCCCTCTGCCCCATCGTCTGCCATGTTTGAATCGGCTTGTGTCCTCTACAGCTTGTTTGTGCTGCTGTGTGTAAGGGGAGGGTTGGGCTGGTGGGATGCGGTTCCTGTGCTTTGTGGGTGTCTGGAATGTCATTATTGCCAGGACTCCTGATCACTTTTATTTCTTAGCCTGTGTCTGTTTCATTTCTTAGCCTGTGTCTGGAGGGTAATAGCTACACGCTAAGGACAGGTGAGTGTGCAAAAGCAGAAAGAAATGGATGATGGGAAATGGACAGTCATTTTCCTAAAATTTTCAGGCAGGCATTGTTTTGCAAGCAACATTTGCCTTAAAACTGCCCCATTAAGCAAAAAGGGATTCACGGGACAAATATTAGCTATGGGTTCTGCATCTGATAGACTTTGTACCTTGGCCTGTGAGTGACCATCAGAACCTCTTGAACTCTTGCTACCAAGTAACCCTGAAAAGGCTCATGGAGCCAGCACTGATCACAGGCGAGTGCACCATGTCTGTCCCCAGCTTGATTCATCAAGGTACTTGCAAAATCACATGGGTGAAAAGCCCAGCACACCCCCCAGTGAGGGAGCATCCTTTGGATCACAGATGGTCTGGCCTGACTTTTCCCCTAGAAGCTAGCGTGGAGAAGAAATGACCCAGATTTTATACTTAGCAAAAACCTATGTCCAGCTCTCTAGTGGACTACTCTGTAGTTGAGACATCAGGTCAGCCACTTAACTTATTGAACCTGTTTGCTCCTCTGGGAGTATGGGAACAACTTTTTTTTTTTTTTTTTTTTTTTTTTGGTTTTTCGAGACAGGGTTTCTCTATGGCTTTGGAGGCTGCCCTGGAATTAGCTCTTGTAGACCAGGCGGGTCTCAACCTCAGAGACCCACCTGCCTCTGCCTCCCTAGTGCTGGGATTAAAGGCATGCGCTACCTACGCTACCAACGCCTGACAGGAGCAACGTTTTTACAGATCTGTTTGTAGATACTAAGACCTAGAGGGGAGTTAAGATGAAATCTGTTGAGCACTGAGTAGGGCTTCAATTTGCACCAGTTTCTACTGTCAAGAGTTTAGCTTTTATATAGAATAATCAGAGTTTATTGTCTCTGTGCTGTTTTGGGTTTGGAAACAGAACCGACTTACTGAAACCAGCAGGTGGATGCCACAACCATCTGCTAAGTGCCTGTTGCCTGAGACGTTGCAGGGGTAGGGCAGGCAGGTTGCAAACTCTGGCCAATTTCTGAGGCTGGCAAGCTCTTGACTCTGGTAGATTTTGAGCCACCTGTTTACTTTTTTACAAAATAAAAAAATACAGTCATTTATTTATATGCATGTGGGCACTTGTGTGCCATGGCACCATTTGGAGGTCAGAGGACAAATTATGGAAATTGGATCTCTCCTCCTTCTACCACTTGGGCTTGGTGGCAAGTGCCTTTATTGCTGAGTCACCTCCCGCTGCGCCCCTGCCCGCCCACACCCCCACCCCTCCACATACAACTTTGTTTACTACTCTGAAATTCCTTTAAGCCAGGGCCAGCCTGTAAGTGCATTTGCCACCAAGCCTGACCACCTGAGTTAGCGCCCCAGGATCCACGTGGTGGAAGCAGACAACTGACTCATCAAAGTTGTTCTCTGACCGCCACAGGTGCATTTGTGGTACTAATGCGCCGCCCACCTTAACCCCCACCCGACACCATAATTACATTAAAAGAAAAAAAAACAAAGACTAGAAAAGGAAATAGGTCGGAATTTGACCAAAATGAACGTGACCTCAGAACTTTTCTGTGATTCTTCTCTCTTTTTTTTTTTTTTTTTTTTTTTTTGGAGTGCGCCACCAACGCCCGGCTTTTCTGTGATTCTTAATCACAAGGAAGAAAAGTTTAGGGTTACACCCCGGGAGGTGGAGGTGGGGGGAGGTTATCTGGTAAATGGGCTGACAACCCCTTGATCTGAAGGGAGACCTAGCATCTTTCCAGGGTGCCTCCCACCCTCCACTCCCGGTTCGTGGCAGCTCCATCCACTACGGCAGCTGTGCACACGCTCCTCTCTTGAGTCAGCACGAGACAAGTAATTTCCCATCCTGAAGCTGCGAGTGGATCTGCTGGGTTGTAGCAGCTAACTTCCCAGATTTGCATACTCGCAGCCTCCTTTCCCTCGGCAAGGCTCGGGTCTCCCTTCCCGGAGGTGATTCTTCTCTCTGGAGGCGGAGGCAGGGTAGGGAGGTGAGGCAGGAGGGAAGCGAAGGCCACGTGCCTGCTGCCCACCCCGAGGCAGCCGGGAGCATGGAGTCCGCGGCGGGGAGG